ACCTTGTTGTATAGCACCACATCAGGAGTAGGATTATGGGAATGAATTATATCTAATTCATCAAAAATCCCACTACCTAGAAAGACGGCAGGTACCAATCTTTTTTTCACTTTTATATATGAGTGAATGGCTTACTTTAGCACTACATACACTATCTGTAAGTCATAGAAAATCAGAGGCTCTCATATGATTTTTTGTTCTCATGTCTTACTTGTGACAAGTAGCTACATGGAGTTTATTTGCCTTCAGTCCTCCTTAAAGTACTGTATGTATTTCCTCTTTATAAAGATTAATTTTTTTTTCACTGTTATCATTCTCTCAATTGAATTGTATGCAAACAAAGTCATATACTTTAAATTATTTTCTCCCTAGAGCACTTAATACAATCTTATGACTAGAGTATAAATGCTACATTTATTTCATAAACAAAATCACAGTTTTAGAATTAGATAACAGATAAGACCTTAAGACTTATTTATATCTCAATGATTCAAGCAATGTCTAAATTTACAGAGTGCGTTTACAAGGTTAGATACTAGGTCACCCAACTCCTAATTCAGGCCTCTTTCCAATTTTCAGAAGGAATAAAAACTGTCTCTATGGGAAAATATAAATAAGCCTATTTAGAAGGAACATACATACTTTTAAAATACAAAATATCAGAAGCTACAAAGCATTGCCTGAGACCCACTCTCTAGTGCCTTGCAGGGAGTCCTGGTCCGGTACTATAGTATAAGCACTGGACTGCTAACTGCAAGGTTGGTGGTTCAAAATCATCAGCTGCTCCTCTGAAACCCTATACAGAATTACTGCAAGTCGGAACCAACTCATGGGCACTTAACAACAGCAATAACAACATTGACCAACATAGAGACGATAACAGACTTACCCTGACAATGAAGAGCTCAGCTCCAAGCTGTGCAGTTTGCTCTGTAGAAAGCTGTAAGTAAGGAAAAGACTAGGTAAATGTTCAAAACTTTATACAATCTAACAGACACCAAGGTGAGACTAAGATCTCAGAGCATCCTGTGATAGTGCCATATTGAATGTAGCCTAAATAAACAGACTGACAGAGAGACTTACTAAAATCTCTTTGGTACAAAGATTTTTGGGAAAATGGTAATTACAATGATAAATAGTTGCCTAAAGGAATTATCAAGAGTTCAGGTACCTTCGCAGCTAGAATGGAAATTATAGCAACTGCCATCCTTTGCATGTTTTGATCCTCATGGTTGCAGAGCCACTGCATGACAAGCTTGGCTGCTTCAAACCTGAAAATACACAAAGGGTTTCATAAATACTCCAGGGGACCTGAGTACAGTTTCAAAGATGTAGCTAAAAACTGATGCTATAATTTAGGAAGGAAGGTGAGAAGGAAATGGAAAATGTTTCTGTACTAACTGTTGTTTTTTAGGTGCCAGTCAAGTTCGTACTTAACCCTATGCATAACAGAACAAAACACTGCCCAGTCCTGTACCAATCTCAAAATCGTTGCTACGTTTCAGCTCACTGCTGCTGCCACTACACCAGTCCATCTCGTTAGGGGTCTTCCTCTTTTTTGCTCACCATCTATTTTACCAAGCATGATGTCCTCCAGGTTTTGGTCTCTCCTCATAATATGTCTGATGTATGAGACACTAAATCTGGCCATCTTGGCTTCTAAGGAGCATTCTGGCTATACTTTTTTGCAGCACAGATTTGTTTGT